AGGAATCCAAACATTCAGTTTATTAAACTAAGGCCAGTGAAGTCATACCATGAAAAAAAAGCTGCAGTCATGCAGGACAAGTGGATAATTTTATAAAGCTAAAATCAAAAGGCTTAAGACATGGAAAATTGATAAGTATGAGGAAGTAATAAAACACAAAAGTGACCACAAGAATGACAAATATATTTAAATCTCAGGCTTGGGAATGGGCTGTGCTCAGCCTTCTAGGGAACAAGAGAAATGCCTTGTATGTTCTGACAGCACTGCACCTTTGGTTTGTTTTCAGTGGTTGGTGGCACGTGAATAGGAACCACACTGTTGCTTGGAGACATGTCATTTTCACGGCTGTCTGACATTTGCTTCTGGGAAACAATGCGGCATATCTCTGTCAGAATTGCCTGAAAAGCTTCTATGTTTGTAGAGTCTAGAGCAGATGTCTCAATGAATGACAAACCATTCTTTTCTGCAAATGCTCTTGCTTCATCTGTGGGAACTGCCCTGAGATGACGGAAATCACTCTTATTGCCCACAAGCATTATACCAATGCCACTATCAGCATGATCTCTCAGTTCTCTTAGCCATCACTCTTCATTTTCCTATGTGAGCTGATTAGCAACGTCATAAAGCAGAAAGGCACCTACAGCTCCACGACAGCATGCTGATGCTATGGCTCCGTATGGCTCTTGCCCTGCTGCGTCCCATATCTGTTGTTTATTGTTTTTCCATCAATCAGGATGCTTCTTACTGCAAACTCTACTCCAGTGATGCTTTTGCTTTCGAAATGAAACTCATTTCAAGACCGGAGACTACTCTTTCCAAGACCAGAATCTCCAATAGGACAACTTTGTAGAGGTGGTTGTACTCGTCATCATAGGTGCCCATTGCGCCGCCGAGGAGCGAAAGGGCAGGAGCAGCTGTGGTATCGGTGGGACCCGCGGGCGTCTGCAGGGCCAGCCGAGCCCCTGGCTTATCATTTCATACGCGGATCTGGAGGTCAGCTGGGTGCCCAGAAGAACAGTTCCGTTCAGTCTGATTGGATCTAGAGTGTCTGGGTCTGCTCTGGGGAGTAGCAGGGTCCCAGAACCTGAGGTTGGTAATGACCTAAGAGAGGAATATAATTTTCCTCTCCTTACCATCCAAAAGGAGGAGGTAGGGATACAGTGTGAGGACAGAGGTACCATTTTGGGAAAACTAAGGCATTCAGAGCTTCACCTGGCATTACAAACTAGTACTTTGCCAATGCCATGGCTTTATATATTTTTTTGTTATTTTTATTTACTCTTTGGGATGGTCCCCAGCAGTGCCTTTTAATAAAAGGCAAAAACTTTGTGTCAAGTGAGGCAGAAATCCCTTATTGGTGAGGTACCAAAAAACTGTAACAGCTTAAATGCCCATTGGTAAAGGAGTGGTTAAGAAAATTATGGTATGCCCATATATTAGAATACTTGCATTAAAAAGAACAAGGTGGAGTTATATGTTCTCCCTCTGAGTCGCCTTAAGTGAAAAAAGAAAAAAAAAACCAAACTGCATAACAGTAACATTAATCCTACCACTTGTGAAAAGGGAAAGGCAAGCTATGGAGACAAATACATATAGATAGACTTGTACTTGTATTGCATATCTCTGGAGAGATACATTAAAAAACTATGAGCAGCAGTTGCCTCTGTGAAGGGGAATCAGGGATAGAAGGAAGATTTGCTTTCATTGCATGTTCTTTTGTACTGTTTGAATTACTTTTTATACACGCTTGCATTAAACTTAAAAAATAATAATAATATGGAAGTTCAATCACTAGGTAATTAAAATAACCCAATTTCTCACCTGTATTAAATCAGAGTGGTAAGAAAATAGAATTCCTATTGCTCCTTTTTTTTTTCTTCTGGCAAATCATTAAGTAAAGTAGTCCATATTTGAGTGGGGCTATTGCCCACATACTATTGAAAGGAATGTTCTAACAGTCTTTCAAAGACAAAGTATAATTCAGTTAATGATAATGCCTGGATTGGAACTTGAAAGAGTTACAATGGTCATGCTCATTTTATATTAATCCACTAGAAATTTTCTCTTGCATCTAAGAAAATGAATGTGTAATAAAGGCTAAAGAGGAAAATGACTTCATAAAAACAGTTTCAAATTTCTATTAGTAGCTAAGATTAAACCAATTACTTGAAAAACTGTAGAAGCCAGAATTTACAATCAGAAAGAACATGACTCAGGAGTGTACCTGGGTGATCAGAATTGTGTGAGATTTAAGTTTCTCTTTGGGGAAAAATAAGTGACAGTTTACACTGATCCTTCATCCATTCTACTGAGCGTTACTGAGTCCTTTCTCAGGTGATGGCAGGCACAATGCAAAATGCCAGAGGTACAAATGGAGGTACAGCTGTCATTTTTCCTTGCCCAGAATCCGTTTCCCCCTTTCCTGGTGACAACATCTTGATTCTCCTTTGGGAAGCTACTCATTCCCTACTCTGGGTTTCCTTCAGAACAGACTAGCCTTGCATCTGTCTCTCACGATCACCATCGACGACAGGTACAGGAGTGGAACTGGGCATATTCTAAGCTCCTGGTTACAGTGTTGTGCATGGCACTAGAAGAAATGCAATCTGGGACTCCTGTGGAACTGTGCAGAAGATGAAGTTCTCCCTCCAATAGAGGCTGAGATTGGGAGAATGTGAGGCTGTCAGCAGCCTCACGAGGAGGCCAACAGAAACAAAAGCAGAGCTGAGAGGCAGATCCTGGGAACCAGCGTTTGAATATTGGATCCAGCTCCCCCTGAAATAGATCTACCGCTGGCCTTTTCAGTGCTAGAAATAACAATGTCCTTTTTTTGTTTATGTCAGTTTGAGTAATATGTAATATTTGTTAGTTGAAGCCAGAATGCTCCTCACAAATAGAGGAGATAAAAGATTGTTCCTTCCTAAGAGGTGCTCCAGTTCTTTGGGGAGAGGCAGGCACATAATTGGGAATTAGTTACCTTACGATGGATGCTATGACAAGGTATGTACCTGATGCCGTGGGAACAGGAAAGGTGCAGATAATGTGGTAAGGCGTCTTAGAGTTATAAAGGATCTTAGAGTTAATTTATCAGAACTAATCTTCTAATTCAAATAGAGATTGTGAAACCCTGACTCAGCCAAGAGAGGCAAAGTAGCTAAGAATGATTCTAAACTGTATTCCACCCCTCTAGGGTAAAAGCAATTTTTAAATAGCATTTTTTCCTGATAATCACAAATCACACATACACATTATAGGAAATTTAGAAAATATGCAAAAGGCCAAAGAATAAAATAAAAGTCACCCATAATGCTCACTCATCAACCAAAGATATCCACTGTTACAATTTTAGTCAATACTCTTCCAATCTTTCTCTATGATTTCCTTAATTTTTAAAAAAGGAAATCATACTCTTACAAAATGCTTCTTAAACTCCACATTACATTATAACATTTACCCATATTATTAGATATTCTTCAGAAATATTTAATTAGCTGCATAACTTCTTTACCCAATCTCTTCTTGGATGCTTAGGTTGCTTCCAATTTTTTATTGTTATAAGCAATATGAGATGAATTCCTTACAGACAAATCTTTATGGCCATCCTGATAATCTCCTTAGGAAAAATTCCCATCCATGAAATTGCTAGATCAAAGAGTTCACGTATTTTAAAATAAAAGCTCACATTTCAATTTTAAAACAAATAGGTAAATATTTTACAGTGCACTCTTAACTTTTACTAGAAGGGGCAAAAACCTCAAGTCGGTTGCATACAAAAAGCTTCGTGTATTATAATTGTAGGGATTATTTTCCTCATGAGAGGGGAAGGAAATAATTTCACTGAGGCAGGAAGGAAGCCGCTCTCCTCTGAAAGAAGATGAGCATGCATGAGTGACTTCTACCTGCTAATGCGTATCATGCTATAAAGTCTAAGTGGTAAGGTATGAAGAAGAAAAGTTATAATCGTGAAGAGAGTTCTTCAAATTTTCCTTCTTTAAATCCATCCATTACACAGTCTGCCCCCAGAGACACTAACCTCAAGCACAAATCAGATCATGCCATACCCTTGCCCAAACCTTCTCATGGCTCCCCACTACTGCCTCCTGACTACAATGCTTTATGGAGGCATTCAAGTCCCTTAAGATATGACCCCTGAGCCATATTTTGAGCCTAATTTCCCCCCTAGTCCCCTGTCCTAATGCATCTAATGCTATAGATGTGATCACCATTCACTGAGGGCACCCCACATGGCACCCACTCTATGCCTTGGTCCACCTTGTTCCCGTTTTTAAGAATGGCATTCTCCCTCATCTCTACCTGTTGAAACGTTTCAAGGCTCAAACGCCAATCTCTCTGCAAAGGTTTCCAAGCTTATCCCAGCAAATCTCTCTGGTTTAACTTATAGTTGATTGGGAGGCACCAGATGCCCCTGTGGGCTCCCTGAAGGCAGAAACATGTCTCACTGAGCTTCCTCTCACCAACTGGCTCTGAGCCTTGAACATGTACATCACCAAGTACATGTTTGTGGAATAGTATTTTTCAGGCATTAAACTTATGTGAAATGGCACAAAGTTTACTAACCTAGCAGGACTGTGTTTAACTGAGTTATTCTCCTTCGTTATGTTATCATACAGCAGTCACCCCTTATCCGCAGTTTCGCTTTCTGCATTTTCAATTACCCACAGTCAACTGCAGTCCAAAAATATGAAATGTAAAATTCCGGAAACAAAGAGTTCATAAGTTTTAAAATGCATACGCTTTGGTGTAGTGTGATGAAACCTCACACCATCTTGCTCTGTCCTGCCTGGGAGGTGAATCATCCCTTTATCCAGTGTACCCATGCTGCATACGCTCCTGGCCTGTCAGTCACCTAGGAGCTGTCTCACTCATCAGATTTGACTATCGCGGTATCATGGTGCTTGTGTTCAAGTAACCTTTATTTTACTTAAAAATGTCTCATTCACCTCACTTCATCTCATCACATAGGCACTGTATCATGTGACATCATCACAAGGAGAAGAGTGAATATAGTACAATATTTGGAGAGACCACACTCACATAACTTTTATTATAGTTTATTTGTTACAATTGTTCTATTTTATTATTAGTTATTGTTGCTAATCTCTTACTGTGCCTAATTTATAAATTAAACTTTATCATGGATATGTATACAGAGGGTGCCCAAAAAATGTACGAGTATACACATTTTAAGAAAGGACAAAACTGTATTAAAATTGTGATACTCAATAAATACTGATAACAAAAGATGAATACAAGTCACATTTGACGTCTGCATTTACAAGAGGTGCTCAAAGTGGTTACCATCAACGTAGTTTTAATATAGATTTTTTCCTTACTTAAAATGTGTATACATTTGTTTGGCACCCTCTGTATATAGGAAAAAAACATAGTAAACTTAGGGTTCAGTACTATCTGAGGTTTCAGGCATCCTGGAACGTATATCCCACAGATAAGAGGGGATTACTGTATTATAGCCATTCTGTTCTTGATCCCAGCCTTCCTAAGCAATCAGAAAGAAGCTCATTCTGGGTGGGTAGGACGGTGCCCGCCATAAACTTCAGCTTGAAATACGACCTTTCGGCATTTACTGGCAGTGCGGAATTCTGTGATATGTTTAGAGAGATTCTGGAAACTGATTTGAAATTGGACAGTATATTGGGTTGTTGGAAAAGTCATGACGTATTCTTGCAATGAAAAACAGAGAAAAAATACGTCATGACTTTTCTGACAACCCAATAGTTCATTCCAAGGAAACATGAATGAAGGTTGTACTAAAAAAACCTGGACTAAGTAAACACGTTTGTGGTTTCACCTCATGCTCCCCCAACACACACAGAAATCTGTGTATCAAGCGTGATCCTTCC